TAGATGATATGTGAGTAGATTCCATAGATCCTAAGCAAGATGATAAATATGAAGAGGTTATTTTAGAGAAATTCAATGTTCAGAGTATAAGCAGGAAGAAAATATTATCAAGGATGATAATGATGAAAAAACATAGATTTTAGGTTGAGTAAAGGTTTTAATATTGGTATTGATAGTGTAAGAGTGAGAAGAGAGGTGAGGCGGTTCATCAAAAAGAAGTTAGAATAGATTATGAAAACTCAGATAAGCTTAGAAGGTTACCCAAAGACAATGAGGTTGAGGGATCATCTACCAGAAGGATAAATTAGTGCTAGCTTAACCCTGCAACTGATGTGGATGATCCAAAGTTCAAGATAGGTAATACATTTTAATATATGCATTATTTTTTTGTTCGAAAATATATATGACAATATGCTATTTTCTTTCTTATAGAGATGAAATTTGACAATGTCAAGACTCTAAGGTTTGCAGTAGTTCAATACTCACTAAGAAATTCTAGGCAACTCAAATATGTGAAAAACATAAGGACACAGTTGAAAGTTTGATGTTAAGATGACTGGCCCTAGGTGATATGCATACCAACAGCCAGACATGAGTCTTAGAATCAACACATTCGAAGATGAGTAAACATATACCATAGTGTCACAAAATAAAAAGGTTAATATAGGTTATCTGGCAAAAAAAAATACATAAGAAAGTTTAGGTATGATCCCAAAATATCGATGAGCATTTTTATGGAAACTATGAAAGAAAACTGCATGTATGAGATTTCAAAGCATCAGTTCTACAAGACAAGATCTAAATGTGTAGAAGCAATGCATGGGATTGTTCCTGAGCAATACAAAATTTTATGGAACTATGGTCAGGAATTAAAGATAACAAATCCCTATAGCACAGTGCAAATTGAAGGTTCAAGTCATACTTTTAAGAGATTACACATACGTTTATAAGCATGTAAGGAAGGGTTTAAGGCTGGCTACAAGCCGGTTATTAGGTTGGATGGTTGTTACAATAGTATGCACAAGTTGGGCAGTTGTTGGTAGTTATTGCCATTGATAGTGAGAACTGTATGTTTCTCATTACATAGGCAGTTGTAGACGTTGAGAACAAAACAAATTGACAATGGTTCGTAGAGTTGTTGGTTGATGACATAGGGATGTATAAACCTACAACTTGGACATTCGTTTCTGATAAACAAAAGGGTCGTGAGCACAAGTATTTTGCTGCATCCCTATAGAAAATTTACCTTGGCACACAAAATTCTGACCCTTAATAACTTATTTTGGGCTGCAACAAGGGCAACAACAGTGCTAAAGTGGAGGAATGCAATGAATGAGTTGAAAGATGTTAATGAAGTAGCTTACAAGCCGTTCAATGAAAAAACACCTTCCCAATGAAGCATATCACACTTTGTAGAGCATTCCAAGTGTGATATTCTTTTAAATAGATTATATGAGGCATCCAGATTCTCCATTTTTGTTGCCAAAGAAAAGCCCATCATCCCAATACTGGAGAAAATCAAGTGGTAAGTATATTTTATACACTTATTTAGGCCATTAAAATTGAGTATTTGTTAAAGAATTTGATGGAATATGGCTTAATCCTATTTATATATTGTGCGTAGGTTACAATCAATGGAAGATACAAGAATAAAGAAAATAAGCAGGAAAAACAAATCAATTACATCAAGGCAAAGTTTGGGGACTAGAATGTAATAATTTAAAAGTTGAATTGGATCAAAGAATGATGAGTTGAGAACACCAAGAGTCAATTGGAGTTGAAGAGAAGCTAATGGGACAAGAAATTTTGGGAAATAACCAGAACACTCACTTCATAAAGTTTAGGGACCAAATTGCAAATTGGCCCCTAAAATAGTTGAATTGTGCGTACGCATAGGCTTGCAAGTCGTGCGTATGCACGATTGGAAAATTTCACTTCCGAAGCTAAATTGATGATACTATGCATATGTACCAAAATGTACTATGTGTACGCATGGTTCAATTCCGACAAAAAAAAATTTCGTTTCCTTATTTGGTTTTGGAAAATTTTGGTTTACAATTCTTTGCACGATATTTATACCAAAAGTCAACAAAAACACTGGAAACCAAATTTTTATCATCTTGGAAGCCGACAAAGAGGAAAAGGAGAGCGGGATATACATTAAAGAACAAGACTTCATCACTTGGATCCGGAATTGAAGACATAAGTGGAGGATTTCAGATTCTTTTCATACTTTAATGATTCGGGTGATGTCGTTCTTTTATTTTTCCTGTTTTTCATATATTAATTTGCTAGGCTAGACATCTTTGTATTAGATAGATGACAAAACTGATTGACTCCTAGTTTTTAATTCAAGAACTTATGTTTTTATTTTAATTCTTGCATTGTGGTTTCTTTAATATGCATATCTATATTGTTTTAATATTTGCGCACCATTAGGACAATAAGTTGCTTATTCGTAGTGTTGGAAAACTCACGGTAGGTAGAATACTGTTATTAGAACGCATGGATAATGAATGTTAGGAATAATATTTGTAACGTGTGCGATCATGTGTGATAATCATATTCATCAATGCGTGTTTGCCATATGAATTCAAACTAGGAATATGATCGTTTCGTGGTAATCATAGGTTTATTATATCTTAAGAAAGAATAATAAATAAATATGGAATTATCGATCGTCACAATTGCATGAGTAGAGATAATTGTCATAGGTCGAGAATTAGAAATAAGAGTTGATTAGTGGCATCGAAAATCAAATACATTCACTCATCTGAATTCTAAAACAAATTCTCATAAATTTTGCAAATTTTTAGTTATAGAACTTAATTAACTATTCAAACAAACGTCAACTTTTAGTTAATCTCACGAATTTAATACGCTGGAATTAGACTTTATTCCCTGTGGGATGATAACTCTTTCATCACAATTATTACTTGTACAACGAACCCGTACGCTTGCGGGATTTTAACGAACAAGTTTTTGGCGCCGTTTTCAGGGAATAACGGTGTTAATTTTAGTTATTAGATATTTTAAATTCGTATGTTTTTATTCTTATTTCATTTTTAGTAGCTGCTTTTAGGCTACCATTATACCGCTTAGTTCTCTTGTGTCTTAACACTTTTTAAACGATATTAGTTTATGCAAAATCCTGACAAGTCAAATCTCTTTCCAATAGACCACAAAATAGAAAGAACATTTAGAAATCGTAGAAGAGTTCAACGTCAAGCAAGGAGAATGGTCGATAACCAAAATCAACCACAAAATTAGGTTCAGCTTCACGAGCAAATACCGCAGCCAAATCAGTCGAGAGCTATCCCGAATGAAGCCCCTGTCTTAGTTGGAGATTATGTTAATCCAATTCCATCACCAGTGCAACTAGCTATAGTATATCCTCTCTTTGGACAACCTAATTTCCACCTTCGACCAGATGTCATCAACTTGTTTCAAAATCACCAAGACATTAAGTTCTTTGGAAAAGCCACGGAGAATCCTCATGAACACATTTTTGCTTTTCTCATGCTATGTAAAGTGATCAGTCACGAAGAAACATCAGCAGACGCATTTCGAATGAGGTTATTCCCTCATACCTCCTGCAAATGGTTTCTCTGTCTACCTCCTGGGAGTATACAATCATGGAATGATATGGTTCAAAAATTCACGATGAAATTCTTTCCACCTTATCGAGTCCACCAAATCAGGAATGATATCCATACCTTTAAGCAGAAAGATCTCGAGAGCTATCCGGAGGCATAGGAGAGGTTCAAGAATTTTTTCAGAAAATGCCCTAGCCTTGACATTCCTAAGCAAGCTCAGCCACCTCTTCTACTACGGTCTAAAACAAGAGTTCAGAAATATGATAGATGCTTTAGCAGGAGGATCGGTGATGAAACTGGATGTGGATTAAGCACATGACCTATATGAAAAAATAGCTGAGAATCAATCGATGTGGCCGACCGATAGAGAAGCTCCAAGGAAAACAGCAGGGTTACACAATGTGGATGCAGTGATAGCACTGGTTGCACAAATGGAAGTTCTTACAATGAAAATGAACAATCTATCTAAGTCAGTTAACATGGTACACCAATCGCTACCAGTTTGTGAAGGTTGTGGAGCTGATCATAATACTATGTATTGCCCTCTGGCGTCTACACATGTTAACCAGTCTGAAGAAGTGAGCTATGCGCAAAACTTTCAGAGACAGCAAAATAGTCTCTTCTCCAACACTTTTAATTCGAGTTGGAGGAATCATCCAAACTTTTCATGGTCTAGCAATCAGGGACAAGGACAAGGAGAAAATAATCAGATTAAACCACCAGGCTTCCAACAGCAACAACAAAAACAAGGAAGAAAGCCATCATTGGAAGATTTGTTGGCTTAATACATTACTGAGACTGAAACTAACTTTCAGAATCAGCAGGCATCTATTAAGAATTTGGAACGGCAGGTAGGACAGATCGCAACTGCAATAGCTAATAGACCACCAGGTACCTTACCAAGCGACACAGAGAAGAACCCACAGGAGTAGGTATTGGCAGTTAATGCGGTAAATTATGCAACTATTGAGCTTCCATCATCATTTACTCCCGCCAACCTTGTCAAGGCGTATGTGCCACCCATTCCGTTTCCTCAAAGACTACGAAGGCAACCAACATTGTAGCAGGTTCAGGCCATCACTGCTAGGAGGGGTGTTCAACTACCAGAAATCACAGTGAAAAAGAAGGGGACTGAGGATAATCAAGTGCCTACAACGGGGAAAGAATCGGTGGAGCAGTTTGAAGAAACAATAGAAACTGATCAAAAGATAGTTTCAGATAGTTCATAGCTTAAGGCAAATGTTCTTGGCACTACATTAACACCCTTTTCCTCAAAGGTTGCAAAAAGCCAACTTAGAGAAGCAAGCTATGAAATTCTAGGAGGTCCTCAAAAAGCTACATGTCAACATTCCATTCATCGACGCTATCCTTCAAATACTAAAGTATTCTAATTTTTGGAAGGAGATGTTGACTAAAAAAAGGAAAATGCCTGAGCATGAAACAATAGCACTACCTGAAGAGTGTAGGGCGATCATCCAGCGCAGGATCCCTCCCAAACTTAAAGATCCAGGGAGTTTTACTCTACCTTACTCCATAGGAAATCTAAATGATATAAATTGTTTAATTGATTCAGGGGCGAGTATTAATTTAATTCCCTTAACACTTTACAGGAAACTGGGATTAGGAGTTCCTAAGGCGGCATCTATTATCCTTCAGTTAGCGGACCAATCACTGAAACACCCCTACGGAATAATCGAAGACATGCTTATCAAGGTGGAAGAGTTTATTTTTCCAGCTGACTTCATCATCCTTGACATAGAAGAGGCAAATCATACGCCAATAATCTTGGGACGACCATTTTTGTCTACAAGTCGAGCCTTGCTGAATTTTGATGCTAATGAGATAATCTTGAGGATAGAGGATAAGCAATAGAGTTTCACCATGGAGAATGCAATCAGGCAACCATCTTACTTTGAGGATTGTCAACGAGTTGATCATTGGGAGAGCTATAAATGCAGGTTAAATGAAGGTGGAAATATTGGTAGGGCAGTAATGGAAACTTGATTTTGTGGAGGATGAAAGATAAAATAAGGAAATGCAATCAGTGCATAAAATGCAGAGCTAAAAATTCTCTCTTCAAGCCACCATGAATTAAGCACTTATTGGGAGGCAACCCAATTTCTAAACTTTTTATTTATTTTGTTTTCTGCATTGTATTTCATATAGTCTTGTTTTGATTATTAGTCTGCATTAAATTTAGGCACGTTTAAATTTATATGGTATCATCATCTGATCATGCTTTCACCGAGGCCTTTAAATATAATATTGGTTATTTCGGGTGTTTGGGCTAAATAACGCATATTCTGGATTATTTGATCTCTAATATTTGATGTGATTGTCATATGCAGGAACAAGAGGAAAGCCGATGAGAAAACTTGTCTACCCGTAACCTACAGTACCTTTCATGTTCAATAAAAAAATCTAGGGAGCACCTTCGTCATTTTCTTTCCCATCCCTTTACATTTTTAATTATGTTTTAAGACATTGAGGACAATGTCGGGTTTAAGTTTGGGGGTTGTTTAATCTTTTATCTTCATTGTTTGTATGTGGTTTACTTCTTTTCGCTTGATTGGTGTGTTTTTATAAAAAAAATAAAATAAAATAAAAAATTTTAACTTTTGTGTGTTGTTTTTAACTTTTGTGTGCTTGTGTGGGTTGGATGGCCTTGCTGGCAATGATGCATTTATTGGAATTGTTTAATTAACTAAGACTGTGGAAGAATTATATGTTGAGTTAATTGACACTTGTTGATGTGAAACTTGATATTTATTGAGCATGATATTCATGTTCTGCATTATGAGTTGATGACTTGGTTTGTATAAGAAGAAAGTTGAACATAGTTGATTCAAACCTGAACCAACACAAATAAATAAGACCATAAAACCTCTTTTAGGAGAATTTGGAAATGATTAAACTAGTATAGAGAAACATTGAGATAAGTAGGGATTCCATGTATGAAATGATTGTGTGGATTATCTAAAGCCAATAAGACGGATTGAGATGAAAACATTGAGTTAGAGGTCAGTTTCGAGAATAGGTGTTTAATAAGGGGCATTGCACTAATCTTGGCAATTAAAAGAAGTAAAAAGAACTTCTTTTCGGAGCCTTTTTGACTCGAGCAATTAAGCCTGCAAGGGTCCTTAAAATCTGGTGCCCTATGGTCATCTGACTTGGGAGTCACCGACTGAAAACTCGCTACAGGGGTCACTTAGTCGCTTAATGGAGAGAAGTATATATATATATATATATATATATATATATATGCATGAAACAGAAGACGCACCAAGTGCCAAGATTAAGTCTCGAACAACTATTCTAGAGACTTATACCTTTGACAATGGGTCATGAGCTCAATTGAGTCTTAGAAGTCGAAGTAATAAAAAATATGGGAGAATCCTTATGAGTCGAGATGGGAATCTATATTAGTTACGATCTATCCAAATGAGAGAGAGTAAGGATTAGAATTAGCTAAAAATCAACCTTAGTGCATACCTCGGGAAAAGTGAATTAAAATCATAAGTTTGGGGGTGTGCATCTTACAAGTAAGGAAAGGAAATAATTGACTACTGCAGGTTGGGAATCAAACCAGTTATTAGCGTTATGATGTTTACATGAATATTCACACACACACTTTAAGTTTCACATTGATTAAGGGGAAATTAATTTCAAATATGTAATTTGGACACTTTTCAAAGTAATGACACAATTATTCAATCCTGAGACTAACAGCATACCATCTAACCAAAGTTTAATTGGATCAGGCTATAAATTGTTTGAGGGCAAACAAATGTTCAAGTTTGGGGGTGTTTGATAAATGTATTTTATACACTTATTTAGGCCATTAAAATTGAGTATTTGTTAAAGAATTTGATGGAATATGGTTCAATCCTATTTATATATTGTGTATAGGTTACAATCAATGGAACATACGAGCATAAAAAAAATAAGCAGGAAAAACGACTCAATTACATTAAGGCAAAGTTTGGGGACTAGAATGCAATAATCTAAAAGTTGAATTGGATCAAGGAATGATGAGTTGAGAACACCAAGAGTCGATTGGAGTAGAAGAGAAGCTAATGGGACAAGAAATTTTGGGAAAGGACCAAAACACTCACTACAGAAAGTTTAGGGACCAAATTGCAAATTGGCCCCTAAAATAGTTGAATTGTACGTACGCATAGGCTTGCAGGTCGTACCTACGCACGACTGGAAAATTTGACTTCTGAAACTAAATTGATGATACTATGCGTACGCACCAAAATGTACTATGCGTACGCATGGTTCAATTTCGACCAAAAAAAAAATTGTTTCCTTATTTTGTTTTAGAAAGTTTTGGTTTACAATTCTTTGCAAGATATTTATACCAAAAGTCGACAAAAACACGGGAAACCTAATTTTTATCATCTTGGAAGCCGACAAACAAGAAAAGGAGAGTGGGATATATATTGAAAAACAAGACTTCATCACTTGGATACCCGAATTGAAGACATAAAGTGGAGGATTTCATATTCTTTTCATACTTTAATGATTTGGGTGATGTCCTTCTTTTATTTTTTTCTGTTTTTCATATAATAATATGCTAGGCTAAACATCTTTGTATTGAATGGATGACAAAACTGATTGACACCTAGTTTTTAATTCAAGCCCTTATGTTTTTATTTTAATTCTTGCATTGTGGTTTCTTTAATATGCATATCTATATTGTTTTAATGTTTGTGCACCATTAGGACAATAAGTTGCTTATTCGGGGTGTTGGAAAACTCACGGTAGGTAGAACACTATTATTGGAACGCATGGACAATGAATGTTAGGAATAATATTTGTGACGTGTGCGATCATGTGTGATAATCCTATTCATCAACGCGTGTTTGCCATATGGATCCGGACTAGGAATATGATCATTTCGTGGTGTTAGACATTATGTTGTCAAACGACCCCCGGGCGATGATGAGAACCAATTTTATCAGTCGACATAAATGACTGAACGATAATTCAACATCGAATAATGGATGAACCGACCAAACGTTGCCTTACCTATTGGACGGCTAATATTCTTTGTGGCTTGTTGATTTCTTCCATTGGAAGTTAACCCTAGTCGAGCCTACTTACCATATCCCGACTTACCTTATGTTGGCCACTTGACTTACTATATATATTGGTGTTTTTGCCTTTGTTGGTACCGTCCAAAATTGAAGCCGTGAGGAAGAAGAAACTGCCGTGTCCAAGCCGTGTCTTCTGTCTTCATCTTCTTCGTGATTTCTTCTCCACCCAAATTGCTTGAGTCTTTGTGAACCTTACCTGAGTGGTATCCATCCTAAGTGTGTGGATTTAATCAACCAAGCAAGAGAAGAAAGCAACCATAGGAAGAAGAAGCGCCGGCGGTATGGGTTCTTCCAGTTTGATGTTGAAACTCGGTTTTAATGGTTAACTGAGCCCGGGAATCAGCGTGAGCAGCAAGAGGAAGGTCCTAACA